TTCTAAACTACTTTTTCCTTCTGGTTATATTTTTGTTCATCAGTTTATGTTGTACATAATATTCCATAATGAGTGAGATCATGTAGTACTTATCTTTCTCCAATTGGCTTATTTTGCTTAGCATAATCCTCTTCAGTTCCATCCATGCTATTACAAATGGCAAGAAAAGTCCTTCTTTTTTATAGAAGTGTATTATTTCATTATGTAGATGTACCACTGTTGTTTATTTTATTTTATTTTATTTTTTAAATTAAATTATTATCTGTGTACATATTTTACCATTGCCTCCCCTCCCATACATACCCACCTGTTTGGTTTTGTGTGTGTGTGTGTGTGTTTTAATATCTTATTGATTTTTTTACAGAGAGGAAGAGAGAGGGATAGAAAGTTAGAAACATCGATGAGAGAGAAACATCGATTAGCTGCCTCCTGCACTCCCCCCATTGGGGGTTTGCCCACATCCAAGGTACATGCCCTTGACAGGAATCAAACCCAGAACCCTTCAGTCTGCAGGCCGACACTTTATCTACTGAGCCATTCCTGTCTTGGCTGTACAGCTGTTTTTTAATCCACTCATCTGCTGATGGGCACTTAGGTTGTTTCCAAATCTTAGCTATTATAAATCGTGCTGTTATGGACATAGAGGTACATATATCCTTTCTGATTGGTATTTCTGATTTCTTGGGATATATTCCTAGAAGTGGGGTTACTGGTTCAAATGGGAATTCAAATTTTAATTTAAAAAAATTATTTTATTGTTTAAAGTATTACAAATAGTAGTACATATGTCTCCTCTTATCCTCATTGACCTCTCCCTGGCCTCCCCCTGGCTGGGCTGAGGGACACTCCCTCTCCCCCACCTGCATGAATTTCATGCACTGGTCATCTAGTGTTCTATAAATATCAATTAAATCCATCTGATCCAATATGACCTTTAGAGTCTCTGTTTCCTTGTTAAGTTTTTGTCTAGAAGATGAGAGAGAAACATCTATTGAGAGAGAAACTTCTACCTAGTGAAGTCAGAGGAGGTCTTAGAGTCCCCTACTATGACTGTATTGTTGTTGATCTCTCTGTTGAAGTCATTTAGAAGTTTTAAAAAATATATATTTAGGTGGCATATAGTGGGAGCATATATGTTTATTGGGGTTATATTCTCTTGTTTGATAGATCCTTTCAATATTATGTAGTGACCTTTGTTGTTTCTTGTGATGGTCTTCATTTTAAAGTCTATTTTGTCGAATATTAGTATTGCTACTACAGCTTTTTTTTCTTTTCCATTTGCATAGAAAAATTTTTTTTCTATTCCTTCACTTTCATCCTGTGTATGTCTTTTGTTTTGAGGTAGGTTTCTGTGGACAGCATATAATTGGGTTATGTTTTCATATACATTCAACTACCTATGCCTTTTTATTGGAATATTTAATCCATTTACATTTAGGGTTATTATTGATAGGTACTTATTTATTGCCATTTTAATTCTGTATGGCTAGGTTTCTCTCTCTGTTTCTTCTCATTATTAAAGCAGTCTCTTTAGCATTTCTTGCAATGTTGGCTTAGTGGTTTGTTTAGCCTTTTTTGTCTGGGAAGCTCTTTATTTTACTATCATGAATGATAGCTTTGCTGAATATAGTAATCTTGGTCTCAGATCTTTGCTTCTATTAACTTGAGTACTTCATGCCATTCCCTTTTGGCCTGTAGAATTTCTGATGAGAAATCAGGTGTCAGCCTTATGGGAACTCCTTTGTAGGCAACAGTTTTCTTTTCTCTTGCTGCCTTTAAAGTTCTCTCTTTGTCTTTAATATTTGGCATTTTAATTATGATGTGTCTGGGTATAGGCCTGTTTGAGTTCTTCTTGCTTGGGGTTCTCTGTGCCTCCTGAATTTGGGTACTTTTTCCTTTACCAGGTTAGGGAAGTTTTCTGCCATTATTTCTTCAAACATGTTCTTTATTCCTTCCTCTCTTCCTGCCTCTTCTGGCACACCTGCTATTCTAATATTGTTATGTTTCATGTCCCACAGCTTCCTTAAGCTTGCTCCCTGTTTTTTAATTTTTTTTGTTTTTTTGTTCTCTGATTGAATTTTCAACTCTGTCTTCTGATTCACTGATTTGATCCTCAGCTTCCCCTAATCTGCTGTATATTGCTTCCAATGTGTTCTTTATTTGTGTTATGTTATTCTTTATCTCAGACTATTCTTATTTTATAGTTACTATATATTTTTTCATGTTGTTGAGCATCTTTACCATCATTACTCTGAGCTCTGTTTCAGATAAATTTCTTATCTGCACTTCATTTATCTTTTCTCTGAAGAATTCTCAAGTTATTTAATTTGGGGATTGTTTCTTTGTCTCCTCATTTTTGGCTCTCTGTTTGGGTTTGTGACGGTGTATTTGTGAGATACTCTACACTTCTCAATCTCTAGTGCAGGACAGTGTTAAAGGCTGTTTCTGACTAATTAGATCAGGCAAAGACTCAAAGCTTCCAGAAACTGCCTCTGCCTATAAACTGACAGGATTCCAACTTCAATTGCCTCTTTCCCCACCCCCTCTCCCCCGCAATGGTAGGGCAGTTGCTTCTGCCTTGAGCTAATTGTTATTTTTAATCTCTTAAGTGACCTCAGGGCAAGGTATTTCCCAATAAAGTGTGTCAACTGTCTTTCCTCCCCAGGCAAAGCGTGGGAAAGATGTCCTCCACTGCATGAGGAAATAACTCAGCCCAGGAAACTTAGGGTATCTGCCTTCTGAACTCTATTCACCGAGTACCCAGTCCTAGCTTTTCCTCTCACAGCTTCCGTCCACTTTACCCTTCCTTTGCACAAGGTGGTGGTTCCACAGGGAATTTTGTATGTTGGGCCTTTAAAAGGGACCCTGAATTTTCAGACAGCACCCCACTGCTTTTCACAGCTAGATGTTATGTGTGTATCCTCCTCAGTTTGGTGCTCTCTGCTGCGAGGCCCAGCTTAGGGATTAAATCCCAGAGTTCTCAGTGGCACATCTCTCCCCCACAGCTGAGAGATATCCCTGGGACTTCAGTTGCTGTCTATGGGTGCCCAGCCAGCCCTTTCATTCCTCCGCCCCTCCTACCAGGCTCTATGTGCTCTCCATTTTTAGTCCTCATGTATCAGGGTTCTCTCCTGCAATTTTCCCATTGATTATTCAGGAAGCTTTTCTGTATTTTAGTTGTAGTTCCAGTTTGTTCCTGGGAGCATGCACATGTAACATTCACTTACTTTGATGCCATTTTTAATCCTCTCTAGAAGGTTCTTACTAGAAGTTTTCTAAGTGTGAATGATGTCCATTAGTTTAAAAGAGGCAAAACTATTGATATATTAGGGCAGAAAAGTGATGACAATGTGAAGCATTATTCACAAGTTTCTGTCTTCTTCACCTACCAGTCCTTTAATTCATTTCTCACAGGAGATTTAAACTCTATCAGGTACAAAGTCCTCTGGTTTTGCTTTTGCTTTTTTATTTTTTCCTTTAAGAAAATTTCTTCAGTGAGAAACGGGAAAGAAGAGAGGAATGAGGAATTTAGGGAAGCAGAAATTAGGAGAAAGGGGGAATGAGAACAGAAAGTATGATTATAGGCTCTGTAGTCAGTAATGACTATTAATACCAAAGAAATTTTCTGTGAGTTTAAGAATTCTATAAAATACAATATAAAAAGTCAAATTAGCTTAAGGTAATGTTAAGAAATGTATCACCATTATTTTCCCACAATTATGAGAAAATAATCTGTGGAGCACTAGCCAGTATGGCTCATTGGTTGAGCATCATCCCATCTACTGAAAGGTCTCAGGTTTGATTCCCAGTCAGGGCACATACCCAGGTTGTGGGTTTGATCTCTGGTTAGGGCCCATGTGGGAGGCAACCAATGTTTCTCTCTCTAAAATCAATAACATTTTTTAAAAAAAGAATAATCTGTGGGAAGCTACTTTAAAACTATTCTAATTTTTACAATAAATTAGTAGGTATTTGGTTACTGACATAAAATTAGACTTTACAACAAATATTTTGATATCTCTATATGTTACATTTAAGAAACTAAAGAAATATATAAAATCAAAGCATTATTACTAAATAGCATTTTTTTAATATCATTAATATACTAGAGGCCCGGTGCACAGAATCTGGGCACTTGGCAGGTGCCTCAGTCCAGCCTGTGCCCTCTTGTAGTCTGGGAGCCCTCGGAGGATGTCTGACCACCGAGGAGGCAGGAGAGGCTCCCGCCACTGAAGCTGCACTCACCATCTGTGAGCCTGGCTTCTGGCTGAGTGGTGGGAGTACACTGACTATCAGGGGGCAACTCCTGCATTGAGCATCTGCCCCCTGGTGGACAGTGCGCATCATAGTGACTGTTCAGTCAATTTGCATATTAGCCTTTTATTATATAGGATTATATAGGATACCAGGTTTTGAGATCAATGTTAAAAATATGCTTGGCGTATTTTCTCATAATTTTTTGTATTTTAATATTTTAGCCTAAATTAATAGAATGCATTAAAAACAGGTGCTATGGCACTCATTCATTTTTTAGTAGTCTCTGTAAAGAAATAGACACAATCTAAAGTAGAGGATTAACTGGGTTCTGTATTAAAAGGAAGAGTTAAGAGACCATTACTGTGTCATTATGTGAACCATAAAATCACAGTGAGTGTTATAACTAAATATTTCCTAAAAATTTAATTTTCTTAGCTATACTAAGGAAATCATGTTTTAGTTTTATTTCATTTCTTAATCTGATAAAACTTATATGTATAGAAAATATTTTAAATATGAAACATTTACATAATGTTAAGTCATTTATATTTACCTTTAAAAAACATTCCTAAAAATGAATATATTACATGTCCCATTGTTTGGCTAGTTTATTTACCAGGAAAAGTTTTAAAATGTATCATGAATATTTTGCCTTTATATTTATTCAATGATTGATAAGTATATCTTAAAACCTTGTTGTTATTTCAGGATAACTTAGGACACCAGAAAGATTAGTTAAGGTCATGAAAGGCCTACCAGGCTTAGAGACTGAGGGCAGGTAAAGGAAATGAATTTGTCAGCTGACAGTTTAGTTGCACAGGCTAACAACCTAAGAGTTCATATGGGTCAAACAAATACCTTCAGTGTAATGCAGATACATCAAAATCTCATTAAGTAATTAAATGATGAATTTGTGGGATATACAATTTGCAGGAAATATTTTATTTTATAAATGCATGTTTTAGAAGATAACATTTGAAATGTAATATGACTTGCCTTGTTTTTGTTTAGTTACTGAACGAAAGCAATGGAGAACATAAAAAAATAAATGATGTTGCAGGATGTTTTTCTTTAGTATTTAAAAGCTGTTGAGCTTCATTATATTTTTATTTTTACATTGGTTTTAGTCTATTTTAACTTTTCATTATATAAGTGTTCAATTCACTTTGTGTTTTATCTATTTTATCCTGTTGCGTTTCTACAAAGAAGCTGCTGCTTTTGTGTTATGAGTAAATTGCTAGACATTCTCCTCAACTAGCTCAGGCAACAGTTGATTGTGGAGCACTGATACAGCGGAGAGATGCTTGGAAGATTTTGAGCCTGGAGTCAAAGAAGATTCAACCTTGGCATTTAGTTGTACTGCAAGACATAATGCAGGTAATGGAGCATATTTTAAAATGGGGTTATTAAAGTATATGTTTATTAGGTAAATCTGATTTTGCTTAGTAAAGCATAGGTGAAGTTTTCATGATGTTTCTATACATTATGGGAGATAAACTTTGAATGATGTTCAAGCTTTTTTATTGCAAATTCATTAAAAATGCACATTTCAATCTTTATCTTAATTAGCAGAAGAGAAATCTGTAGATAGAAATGGGAGGGAAATGCGGTAAATGAGATATTAATTCTCAAAGACTTTGATAAATTGGTTAAGAAATTATTTTAGTTTGTCACTCCTCAGGATACATTGAGTCTTCAATCTAACTCCCAACATAGAGTATTCCAAATCAGCCAGGGGCTGTATCATACAGCGAGTACTGTAATGTTAAAAAGATATGGACATAACTTTCTAGAACGTGTTTGTATTCAGCCCATATTGGGCAGGAAGGAGGAGGAAGAGAAGGATCACCTTCTCTTATAAACTGACAGCTCAGTGCCTGGACCTCTCTTGTGAAGGTTGTGCTGATTAGTAAAAAATATATAGGGACCAAAATTGCCCCCACAACTTTATAGAAGTTGCTAAGCAATATAAATACATAATACAACAAGAATATGCAGTTTAACAAACATGTAAAAATAATTAACTTTGTTATAACCAAGGACTGCACATGAAAACATTAGTGCAAATATCTTTTCTCCCTGAGAGAAAAAAAGAGTAAAGCAGAAATGCAGCCAATTGGTTAAGAGCACAGTGGCATTAAACAGGACCTGAGTTTGAGTCCAAGTTCTCCCACTTAGTTGCTATGTGACATTGGATATAGCTTTTTAACTTTGTGAACTTTTACTTCCTCATCTGCAAAAAGAGGGTAACTACTTGAGAATTATACAGAGATTTATTGTGAGGATGAAAATACAGGTAAAGCACTCAGATGAATGCTTGGCACATGGTCAATACTCTATAAATGAAAGGTATTAGTATTAATACTGAAGGTTAGAGAGGACTTGATAATATTTATGTACATTGGTAAAAACACTATAAATTGTGTCAACTTGTGGAAAGTTGTTTGGTAAAACTAAGTCACAAAAGAGTCTTTGGTTTCTCTAATGATCCACTTGGCTAGTATTTCATCCTAAGGAAAGAATTCCACAGAATGAAAAACTATATTCATGCAAGTGTTATTGGAGCATTGTTTGTAATATCAAAAAACCTCAAATATTTGGCAGGAGTTTAGAGGTTAAATTATGGCAGTTTACTTAATGGACTAACATTCAACAAATTAAAAAGGCAATTGTGAATCCTACATGGTAACATGGAAAAGTGATTATAATGTAAGAAAGGACAAAATTGTGTATTACATTTGTAATAATATAAAAAAAGTTTTTATGTAGACATAAATTACAAAGAGATACATGTTTGTATTACGAGGGTGATAGAATTAAGGATATTTGTTTTTATTTTCCAGATTTTCAGGGGGTATACATGTGTAATAACTACCACTTACTGAGTAATTATCTTGTACTGGCTCTGCACAGTGTGCTTCAGATACATTAAGTGTGTTACCCTTAGAGTAGCTATTACTCTCCTTGTTTAATGGAGGAAGAATGTGGAACTTAGGTTGCCCATGCAGCCTGAAGTTATGTTAAAGGTGGAACTGGAATTTGAGTCTAAACCACAGTGCCATACAGCTTCACTTAAGTACTTCTTGACAGAGTATTGAAGAAGAAATTCACAACAGAAACAGTGAGAAGTTCTCCCACGATTATGTTTAATTTGGTTCTTAAAGTGATGACACTGTTAGAGACAAAAAGAAGTAAAATGACATAAAAGTAAATTGAAGCTGATGGGGTCGTGGATGGATTGAACAAAGAAGACAAAAAAGGGAAACAGCTCATGGATACCAACAACAGTGTGGTGATTGCAGGGAGAGAGGATGGTGGAGATGAAAAAGGATAAAGGAAGGATAAATGGTAATGGCAAAATAAAAATAAAAAGTGAGGAAAAAAGCAAATTGAGAAAGAAACTATTGTCATGCTTAGAATGGTTCAGAATTAATATATAAAAATTATTTCCTTCATATCTGGATTTTGGTTTTCCAGATAGGTCACCTTAGGACTATTGCTTAATCTATGTTGATTGAGAAAACTAAGGCAGTGTTTTAAATCAGAGGCTGGTTATCATGGGGAATCTACAATATATTTAATAATTTTTTTTTTTTTAATGCCAGAGGACTTAATGGCAAACAGATTGTAACATGAGTATTTCAAAGGTTGCTGCCAAAGAGTTTGGAGGGGCTGAAACCGGTTTGGCTCAGTGGATAGAGCATCGGCCTGCGGACTGAAGGGTCCCAGGTTCGATTCCGGTCAAGGGCATGTACCTTGGTTGCGAGCACATCCTCAGGGGGGGTGTGCAGGAGGCAGCTGATCGATGTTTCTAACTCTGTCCCTCTCCCTTCCTCTCTGTAAAAAAAAAAATCAATAAAATATATTAAAACAAAACACACACACAAAAAACAAAGAGCTTGGAGGGACAGCTGTGCAGATACATTCTGGGGCAGGTGCCCATAGGTAACCTCCCAGACCTCCCTTTTGTTGAGTTTGAGGCTAAGTGATAATAGTTTATAAACAGGGTCTGTTCTAGGGAATCCATTCCAATTTTTTTTTTTTTTCCTTTTCTGTAATCTGGCTCCCACATGGAATTCCCCTGTAATTTCAATATTTCATGGTACTTAAAGGCCTGGGACTTAGAAGCTCCCAGAGGAGATTACTGCATAGATTTCTCTGAAGGAAAGGGAATTGTTATCTAGAAAGCAATAAGAGGAGTTACCATTCACAACCTGAATATCAGTGAAAATAGAGGACTCACCTCCAAATAACCTGGCTTCTTTCTCACCAAATTTCTAAAAGTGGAATATATTGAGGTTATTGGGAGGACATTCATTCAGTATTTTCTACTTAGTATTAGTGGTGAAAGGTAGATCAGACAGTTTAAAAAATATAAACCTCAAATAGAGATTCAAAAAAAATAAGGTATATCTTTAAGGGTATAGAAGGAAAAGATGTCGTAGGAAATAAAAATAAAATAACATACAATTAATAAGGAGAGAAACCAATGGACATTATTTGACTTTTCCTTTAAAAAAATACAATTTTTAAAGGTTACTTCTGTGTATAGATTTTAAACTATTTTACTGATAACCAAAGGGAATTGGGGCTAACAACTAGAAATGGCAAGTGTTTTTTAAAAATTCTGTTCAAATTGTGTCATTAATTTCTATGATTGAACTACCAGTTATTGAATACACTGATAAAAAAAAAAGTACCTCTTACTTTGAAGATGTTATTTCTTTTTTTTAAAAAAATATATATTTTAGCCGGGACCAGTTTGGCTCAATGGATAGAGCGTCGGCTTGGGGACTGAAGGGTCCTGGGTTCGATTCTGGTCGAGGGCATGTGCCTTGGTTGCAGGCATATCCCCAGTGGGGGATGTGCAAGAGGCGGCTGATCGATGACTCTCTCTCATCGATGTTTCTAACTCTCTATCTCTCTCCCTTCCTCTCTGTACAAAATCAATAAAAAATATATTTGAAAAATATATATTTTATTGTTGTTTTTGGAGAGGGATAGAAAGTTAGAAACATCGATGAGAGAGAAACATCAATCAGCTGCCTCCTGCACACCTCCCACTGGGGATGTGCCCGCAACCAAGGTACATGCCCCTGACCGGAATCGAACCTGGAATCTTTCAGTCCGCAGGCCGATGCTCTATCTACTGAGCCAAACCGGTTAGGGCTAAAGATGTTATTTCTTTATATTTTTCCTGCTTATTGATAAAGGCTGAAATAGAATTCTTCTCATAATGTTGTCTCTTCTTCTACTCACTCTTTCCTACACTGCAGAATTATTTTAATCAATGTCAAAACTCTCATTGTTTCTAAAGATTAGTCTTGCTTTGGAACTACAGGCAGTGAGGCGAGGACCCTGGTGGTTGGAAGTGTGAGGGGTGAGGCAGAAGGAACCATGGGGCTGTGGAGCCACAGTGCTTCCCAGAAAAGTGCTTCCCTCTGCTCCTGGCCCTCCTTCCTGTCTGGCGTGTTACTGCTGGCAGCACAGCGGTGCGGTGAGGAGCGCTCCAGGGAACTGTGTTGGAGAGTGTCAGCACTGAGAGTACTTGGTGAGGTGAGGACAATAGCCTCTCTATTGGCTGGAAGTGTGAGGAAGGAAGAGTCAAAAAAGTACTTTATGGACGAATGATCTTCCACATTTGGGCTAAACAAAAAAAAGTAAGTTCTACTTTTTTATTTTGGGAGTTTTAGCTAAAAATGCTGTCTTTTGTAAACTTGGTCTCTTGTAAATTTTGGCTCTTCTCTAGCTGACAAACAGGAATACATTTGATTAGGTGTTCTGAAACATTTCAGTTATTGATAGAATTGTCATGTTATAGATGAGGAAACTGAAGTAGAGAGGTTACAGGATTTATTCTGGTCAGACGGCAATTTATGGTGGAACTGCTTGAAAGTTACTCAAAACCTTTCAGAGATTTTTCATTTTTATGGTGTGAGAAAGAAAAGTGTATGAGAGCTTGTAATTCTTCGTTTTAACCTCCTTCTTCTATTTGAAAGTCTTACCAAATACCTCTGTTTTAATCCTTGATGGCTGGTTCCCACATGTGTGACTATTCTTTCTCTCACAGACCTGATTTATGTCCTTAAGACCTAAATCAAGTGAGGAGTTTTATTCCAGCTCAGTAGCAGCTAGGAGAGGAGATTGGGGCAGCTGCAGAGAAGTGGTGCTTCCAGGAAATGGCTGGTGTGGACACTACGGAAACATTCACCAGTAGAGTGTCTTCTATTCACTAAGTAAATAATGTAAGCAAAGATTCCGAGCTGGCCAGTCTGATTCTTTTCTCCTTTATAGAGAATGATGAAATGATCAGAGGAAAATACAATTTTAAAATTCAGAATTTTCGCAAATATTCTTCTTATGCCACTCATACCACCTATATATAATTACTAACATTGTAAGCTGTGTGAAACAGGCTTAGGAAGCAGTAATTAACTTCTTAAAAATCTACATGTTATTAATAAATATGTGAGTTAATAGGGACTTAGTAGTGTATGACTTAGAGTAGGTAAGGAAGGACGGGGAAAGGGCTGGTAATTAAAAATTATTTTAAAAGCCTTACAGACAACTATCTTCACAGATGCCTGTAGATATGTTGATTTCTGTTCCATCTTATTCTTTTTATAACATTATTTTTTATTCTAGAAGGATTGAAAAACACCCATAAAGGCAAATTATGTTTATGAGATTATATTATACCTATTTTTATTCTAATATTTATTTCCACAAATATTCTCCTATTTACTTACCATAAGAGTAAATGCAAAAAGATAAAGTATGGACTTGGAAAGCATTATGCTAAGCAAAATAAGTCAGTCAGAGAAAGATAAATATCACATGAACTCACTCATCTGTGGAATATAATGAATATAAACTGATGAACAAAAACAGATCCAGAGACAGAGAAGCATCGATCAGACCATCAAACCTCAGAGGGAAGGTAGGGGAGGGTGGGGGTAAAGGGAAGAGATCAACCAAAGGACTTGTATGCATGCATATAACCATAACCAATGGACATAGACACTAGAGGGGTAAGGGCATAAGGTGGGGGACAGGGGACAATGAGGAGATAAAGACACATATGTAATGCCTTAATCAATAAAGAAAAAAAAATAAGTAAAAAAGAAAAGAAAAATGTCTCTTTTATGTTCTTTGAGCAAAGAAGAGAAACCAAATGTGTTAAACAAAATAACATTTTAATTATAACATTACTCAGTAGTTACCTAATTTGTTAGTCATTTTTGGGGGATAGTTTGTATGCTAGTAAAAACATATTGTAAATTCTCTTTTATTTTTATTTATTGTGAATTTTAAAGTTATAAACTCTTGGTTAATAAAATCTGAGTGTTTTTTTACAATTCAGAATATGGAATAATAAAATATAATTCTGTAATCTCAGATCACTAACTCACTGAGAACTTTATAAATGAGGCTAACAAACAATTTATCACCATCATCATTATAATCACCAAATAGTATTTGAGACTCTTAGCCCACACAATATTTCCTCTATCTGATGGCACATGACATTCTTTTTTTTTCTTTTTTTAAGTATTTGTATTAATTTCAGAGAAGAATCGAGAGGAAGAGAGAGAGAGAAACATCAATGATGAGAGAGAATCATTGCTCAGCTGCCTCCTGCGCACCCCCTACTGGTGATTGAGCCCCCACGAAACCTGGCTGGGAATTGAACAGGCAATCTGGTTCCTGGACTGATGCTCAACTGCTGGACTGCCACCTAACATTCCTTTAGTCTGAGGCTTGTTTCCTGTGCAAGAAATGTCACTAAATGTGTGTGCTTGAGTGAGAGAAGGGTGTTTGTATCCTAATGGTTTCGTCAATCAGGTTTGAACAGAGCATCATAATGTATTTTTTAAGTTTGAACAAAATTGTTTCTCAAACTTGGTTTATTTTCCAGTCATTGTATAAATCCTCCTAACATCTTTTAGATATTGAGGGAAAACACAATTTTATTTATATTTTACATTTATTTACATTTGAATTTCTAGAAGTACATTAGGCGTAGTGTACTTACTGAAATTTGAAAGTACTTTAATTAGCATTTCACAAACATCTATAAGGCACTTTAGCTTATTAAAAGCTTTAAACTTTGTTAGCACAAGAATTATATTTTGACATAAGTCATGTTCATCATCTTATTAAAAAATTTAAACTCATGGTCTACAGGAAATAGTTGCTGTGTAATCACTATGTTGTCTGACGAATTTGCACAGTTAATTTTGGGGGCTTTACTTTTATCTGTGGTTTTAGATGAATAAACCAGCTTGCTATAAAAATGTAGTATAAGTTATCTGCATCAAAGCACTTTTGCTCAGGATAGAACTCTGGCCTTGAATTAATTATATATACTTAACCATTTGTGTCATAGAAAAATTTCTCTATATCTCCTTTAATTTATATCACAGTTTTACCACTATGGTAGCTACTAGTTTCATGTTATTTGAATTGTGACTAGTGTACCTGAGGAACTATAATTCTTAATTTTATTTACTTTTAATTAATATAAATTTAAAAATTGATTATCAATTATTGGAATGCATTCAGGCATGATCAGAACAACTTTGGTATGTGAACTAACTTTTCAACTGTAAACTTTTTGAAATCTAAACAGAGACTAGAGTATTCCAATGAAAATGTAGCAAATTAATTGAGTTGTGCCATAAGTATACAATATGCATTGGATTTCCAAGACTTGGTATGAAAAAAGACTGAAATATTTCATTAAAATTTAAGGTATTAATTAAATATTGAAATTATAATATTTTGTGTATATTATGTTAAATAATGTATAGTATTAAAATTAATTTTAAATAAGCCAGTCAGAGAAAGACAAGAACATGATTTCACTCATGTGGAATCTAATGAACAAAATAAACAAACAAAATAGAAACAAACTCATAGATAGAGAACAGACTGACGGCTGTCAGAGGAATAGTGGTTGAAGCACAAAGAAGTTCCCTATGTTGTACTTTATAGTGGCATATTTCCTGAGTGTAATATTATGAAGTTATTAAAAATGTTGGGCTGCCTTCATCCTCAAGAATAAAAGTGGATAGTGGAAGCTCGTGGGTAGCTTTAAGGAATTATTCAGAAGGAGTCACACTAAAAACTGCTGACCACTTTTATAAAAATACTAGAGGCCTGGTGCATAAAATTCGTGCATGGGGAGGGGGTTCCCTTCAGCCCAGCCTGCACCCTCTCCAATCTGAGACCCCTCAGAGGATGTCTGACTGTCCAACTAGCAATTGGACATTCCTCTCACAATCCAGGACTTCTGACTCCTAACTGCTCACCTGCCAGCCTGCCTGGTTGCCTCTAACTGCCCCCCCTCCCTCCCCACCATTCTTATCACCCCTAATTGCCTCTGTCTGCTGGCCTGATCACCCCCAACTTCCCCTACTGCTGGCCTGGTCACTCCCAACTACCTCCTTCTACCAGCATGGTTGCCCCTAACTACCCCCCCCCCCCCAGCCTATCTTTAAATTGATCAATAAGGCCACCTAAATGCGGATAAATGACAATTCTTGACATTCTTTACTTTTTAATGAAACAAAATAGAACTTTTTGTAGGGCTTAGGAACAGTGAGTTAGAAGTAGTGTTTGGAAAAAAAATAAATTAAAAAGCAATAGTTAAAAGAAATTAGAATTCCTGAGGTATTTGAAATGCGTGATTATTTTTAAATTACTTTGCTAAATACATAGATATCTCTCTATATTTCCTTCCTTTATTCCTTTTGGAGGATCTCTTCCTTTTGAGTTCTTTTTATGAATTCTCATGATAGATCAGTTGATTTTGCTTTCTCTCCAAAATCTGCTTTGTGAACCAAAAGATTAGTTAAGATTAATATGTTTAGATCAACCCACCCTTTTTTGGCCAATTTTTAGGTTTTCATCTTTTTTTAAAAATATTTTTTTATTGATTTTTTACAGAGAGGAAGGGAGAGAGCTAGAGAGCTAGAAACGTCGATGAGAGAGAAACATCGACCATCTGCCTCTTACACACCCCCTACCGGGGATGTGCCCGCAACCAACGTACATGCCCCTGACTGGAATCGAACCTGGGACCTTTCAGTCCGCAGACCGATGCTCTACCTCTGAGCCAAACCGGTTTCGGCTTGAGTGGTTCTTTTGTATGACTCCAAAACACTACTGCAAGAATTATAGGTAGAAAGAACATCACCTTTCCACACCCAGAAAGCCCATCGCACCCAAGGCATTTTAGAAGGTATGAGATGTAAGCCTTAATCATACATGGCAATTGCAGGCTGTAGTTGGTCCACAAATGGATGTTGTCTCCCACAACATTCTTTAAAAAAGAAAAAAATTTAATTGCTTCTAGCCTTTTGGCTAAGATCAAGTGCAGTATCTGTTCTTATCAGTTTAATATCTGATACATCCTCTATCCGAGGACAATATATTAAATGGATTTTTAAATCTGGGAGTTGGAATAGGAGCTTGCTCCATCCATTCCACGCATCTACCTGGTATTGCAGTACCTCCAGAAAAGGAACAAAAAAAAAAAAAAAAGAAAGAAAGAAAGAAAGAAAGAAAGAAAGAAAGAAAGAAAGAAAGAAAGAAAGAAGAAAGGAAAAATTAAAAAAGTTACTAACACTCACACACACACACACAAAACCCCCAGGAAATTTCACTTTAAAAGATCAGATTTCTGGCTTCTCTTGAAAAACCCAAAGATCTGACAATAGTATATTCCTACCTGGCCACCCTATGCTGAAGCTGAGTAAATGCTGCTCTGTCTAGCTGCTGCCATTACTTTTGCTGCTACTAAACTGGGTATTTTTCTTACATCCTCTGGCTTCACTATTCTAGATACTTGCCTAGGCCTGTGGACATTTCAGTTACCACTCTTAATCTACCCAAAGAACTAGCCATAAATAACAGTTAAGAGGAGGGATTGAGGTCATTGAGATAACAAAAGCAAAATAACTCTTCATGTTCGTCTCACAAAATTACTCTTGCCTGATTCAGCTGGTTTTATCCATTTTGGTCATGCCTACTATACTAGTACTAGAGGCCCAGAGCAAGAAATTTGTGCACGGGGGCAGAGAGGGGGGTTGTCCCTCAGCCCAGCCTGCACCCTCTCCAATCTGGAACGCCTTGAGGGATGTCCAATTGCCCGCGTAGGCCTGATCCTACTGGGATCCAGAACAGCTGGCTCCCAACTGCTTGACTGCCTGCCTTCCTGATTGCCCCTAACTGCTACTGCCTGCCAACCTGATCACCCCCTAACCACTCCCATGCCAGCCTGATTGATGTCTAACTGCTCCCCTGCAAGCCTGTTTGCCCCCAACTTCCCTCCTCTGCTGCCTGGTCACCCCTAACTGCCCTCCCTTGCAGGGTTGATTGCCCCCAACAGCCCTCTCTTGCAGGCCTGGTGCCTCCCAACTGCCCTCCCTTGCTTGCCTGATCACCTACAACTGCTCTCCCTTGCAGGCCTGGTCTCTTCCAACTGCCCTCCCCTGCTGGCTATCTTGTGTCCACATGGGGGCAGGATCTTTGACCACATGGGGGCAGCCATATTGTGTGTTGGAGTGATGGTCTATCTGCATATACTCTTTTATTAGATAGGATAGAGGCCTGGTACATGGGTGGAGGCCAAGCTAGTTTGCTCTGAAGGGTGTCCCGAATCAGGGTGGGGGTTCTCTTGGGGCATGGGGCAACCTGAGCGAGGGACCTGTGGTGGTTTGCAGGCTTGCCATGCCCTCCAGCGACCCAAGTGAAGGCCCTGGTATCTGCGGTTTATTTACCTTCTACAATTGAAACTTTGTAGCCTGGAGCAGAACCAAGCCTCCTGCTCGCCCAGTGGTGGAAGCCATTTCTGTTTGGATTTGTTTACTTTCTATAACTGAAACTTTGTAGCCTTGAGTGGAGGCGTAGGCCGGCAAGGGCCGGCGGAAAGCTTGACTTCCTCGGTTGCCAGGGAAACACCTCCCTCCTGTTCTCTGTGGCTGTAGCCATTTTGGTTGGGTTTATTTGCATACTTGCTCTGATTGGCTTGTGGGAGTGGCTTGTGGTTGTGGCCTGTGGAGCAGAGTGATGGTTAATTTGCATATTACTCTTTTATTAGGTAGGATATTGCTGGGCATGCCTTTCTGCACTCTTCCCTTCTAGTTAGCAAGAAGTCATTTTAATAATCCATTCATCCAGCTTTAGAGAGTATTAATTTTATAAATGTTGTTGTTTTTAAAAGTCCCCCCTTTTATTCATCTTGTTTGTTTTAAAATTAAATCTAAAGTTATACTGAGCATTGTTTATTACTCTAAATAGAAGATATTGACCCATTTAAATGGTAATACTTCACACCTGTCAGTGAGAGCACTATAAGCTCAGTCTTTTATTTTTTACTAGAGGCCTGGTGCACAAATTTGTGCACCAGTGGGGTCCTTCAGCTTGGCCTGCAGGACTGGGCTGAAACCTGCTCTCCGACATTCCCCAAGGGTTCCCGGATTGTGAGAGAGCACAGGCCAGGCCGAGTGACCCCACCAGTGCATGATCAGGGCCAGGGAGGGATGCAAGAAGTTGGCCAACCAGGGAGGGACCACAGGAAGGCTCCAGGGCATATCTGGCCCATCTCGCTCAGTCCTGATTGGCCAGACCCCAGCAGCAAGCTAACTTACTGGTTTAAGCATCTAATCCCTGGTGGTCAGTGCACATCATAGTGAGTGGTTGAGCAGCCTTAGCATATCATTAGCATATTATGCTTTGATTGGTTGAGTGGATGACTGGATGATGGGACACTTAGTATATTAGGCTTTTATTATATAAGATGGGGGGGTGGAAACCTGAAAACAAAAATCTGTGTTCTAAGAACAGTGTAGAATAAAATAAGAAGAAAGCAACTGTCTAAGAATCAAAGAGTTGTCACCCCAAATTTTCCCATTATTAATAGTCAAACAACTTAAGCCTCATAAATGTTTATTAGAATCATGGAAAATCTGATACAGACAGAACTGAGGTGGGATGACCTCCCCCACCAACCCTTGTCAAGGAGGCTGCCTCAGTTTCTTCATTCAACAATGAGCTATTCTTCAGGCCCAATAGAAGTACTTGAAAACAGATGACTAACAAATTTGAAGACTGTATATTCAGTTGTCTACAATGTAAGTAATAAATGGGTTTTGTTATTATTTTTGAGCATGGAAGCTGCAACTAAGTTCATTCTCTCTGACAATTTGCAATCTAAAAATGTTAAAAAATGATTAATAACCCTAACATTTAAAAATGTGATATTTTAACTTAAATGTAGTAAGAGCATGGATTAAGACAAGAAGGGAAGTGTGAAAAAGTAAATGCATAATATTTTTAGTGTATATTAGAAATTTTTTGAAGAATAATTAATAGTCTTTATATATATATTTTAAAGGATATATATATCCCCATAATTTTCTTTAAAAAATATTTTTATTGATTTTAGAGAAGAGGAGAGAGGGAGAGACAGAAACATCAATGATCAGCTACCTCCTGCACACTCCCCAGTGGAGATTGAGTCCACAATCTGGGCCTGACCAGGAATTGAACTGTGACCTCCTGGTTCATAGATTAATGCCCAACCACTGAGTCATATCCAGCTGGGCCATTCCTACCATTTTAAAAAGAAGAAACTTCTTGCCATATTGAGAAATAAGCCAAAATGTTTATATTTATTTGTCCCTTCTTTTATTCTTTACTTACTAGAGGCCTGGTTCACAAAATTCGTGCACTTGGGGGTGGTTTCCCTCAGCCTGGCCTGTGTCCTCTTGCAATCTGGGAGCCCTTAAGGGATGTTTAACTGATGGCTTAGGCCCACTACCCTGGGCAGTCAGACGTCCTTAGCATTGCCCAGGGGCAGGCGAGGCTCCTGCCCCTGCCTCTGTGCTCACCACCTATGAGCTTGGCTTCTGGCTGAGCGGCGCTCCTCCCTGTGCCCTGGGTATTTTTCCTACACCCTCTGGCTTCACTACTCTAGGCACTGACAGGGGGCAGCTCCTGCATTGAGCATCTGTCTCCTGGTGGCCAGTGTGCATCATAGCGACTGGTCATTCTGCTGTTTGATTGATTTGCATATTAGCCTTTTATTATATAGGACTAGTGGCCCGGTGCATGAAATTCATGCACATTAAAAAAGAATTAATTAGAAGGAAAATTTTAATATTACTATTTTCCCTTTCTCTATAATAGAAATGTCAGAGATGAAAGAAAATTAGTAAAATGTATATAATAATCTTCCTCCTGTCAGAGTCTGGGGCATGCTGCAGAGTCAAATCCCTGACCACCCATGCGCTCCTCAAAATTGTGCGAGACCCAGACCCAGCTGGCCCCACCCCTGTCAAGCTGCACCAGGTTGGGGTGCAGTCTCAAGTCCCCTGGCACACCCTCAGGTCCCTGGCCCAGGACTGGGCCAGGGGGGTGGCTTAAGGTCCTCTGACTTGGGCAGGGCGCACAGCATGAGGCCAACCATCAAGCCCCACCTGAGGTTCCCTACCCTGGGCCAGGACAGGGGGCAGGCCTGGAGGTCCCCTGTCAAGCCCCGCTGGGCGGGGGTGTAGCCTGACATCCCCCATCAAACCTTGCCAGGTGAGAGTTGCAATCTCAGGTCCCCTGCCCTGGCCCGATGCCACACAGCCTTAGGTCCCTGCTGATTGCTTGTTACAGGAACTCCATCTCTGTAGTGGGCACAGCCATATTGTGTTACAGGAACTCCACCTCTGCTTTGGGTGTAGCCATCTTGTCATGGCGTGAGGGTTAATTTGCATATTACCTCTTTATTATATAGGATTGTTATAATAGTAATGTTAACACATTGCAAATGGCTCAAGAGAATTCTTGCATCACATTACACAGTGTTTTACAAAGTATCATACTTTAAAAAGATATTAGCTTGTAAGAACATCCATATTATAAAAGGCCAGGGTCTGTCATGACCTAAATGACAGATGGATGATTGGTCACCAGGAAGTGCATGGAGCACCTCTCAGTCCCTCCCCTGTGGCCCTCAGGCTCCTATCACAGCTAGGCTGGTGGCCGGGAGGTGGGCGGGGTGGTGGTGGGAGGGTGGTCGGGGCTGGGCCAAAGGCTTAATGACCTCACCGCTGTTGTAGTGGTTATGGATCAAGCCTGGAGAGAGAGGCAGGGCCTGATTCACAGCTGCAGTGGCTGCTGGCAAGGCCCAGAGACAGAGAGAGAGGCAGGGCCTGATTAGCAGCTGCCATGGAGGCTGTGGATCAGGCCTGGAGAGAGATCCAGAGACACTGACTAGCATAGAAACTGACCAATCAGAACCAAATCTGGGTGAACTGTGAGTGGCCAATAGCTACCTAGGAGGCAGAGCTTTTGACACTAAATGGCATAGAAACTGACTAATCAGAACCTAATCTGGGTGAACTGTGAAGGCAGACCCTAAGATGGGGGCTGAGGAGGGGTTTTAAGGGCAACAGCTGTTTGGTGTAAGTGTAAGAAAGTGGTTCAATTTTTAATGACCGGTTTGGCAGTATAGTGCATATGGCTGGCTATTAGTCCAGATA